TGGGCCCATGAACTGATAGAATTAGCCGGCAAGCTTTTTAACCAAGTACGGGCCATTCCTTCAAGCATCATGGTGAAGTATTTCGCACACGCCGCGTCATCCACATCAAGCATCTCCATGGCCATCTCATAGCTCTCCACCCATGTCTCTGGAGGTTGATCCGCCATGTAATTTGGTACCTTGTGTGGGCCTTTGAAATCCTTGGGCAGGCGCACATTGCGTAAAGCGGGGATAAGGAAAGGCACCCCCAAAGAACTAGAAGTAACACCAGGTTCGATCGAGATAGTTGGACGAATCGGCGTGAGCTGCCGAGCCTGATGCTGTGCGGCTAACTCGGCCTCCCTGCGCGCTCGGGCCCGGTCCACCATTTCCTGAGTGTTATCAGCACCACCCGCCGGGTTGTTGCCACGGGGTGCTCCACGTTGTTCATTACTCGACACTGTCGGTTCATCCATATGTCTGCTATAGCTCCGGCTTGGACGGGGGGTGGAGTGGATCCGGTCGCGGCTGTACGAATATGCTTCCTGTTGGACCAAAGCTGTCCTCAGAAGCTCCTTGACCCGTCGCGTCTCTACTGCCTGCGGCGAGTCACCTTCAGTTGGAATGGCCTCCAGCCGTGCAGTAGCGGCAATGAGATTGTCCATCGGATTGGAGTAGTGACCCGGAGGTGTTAAAACAGCCTGAGGTATAACGGTGTTTTGACGAGGCGGGTCCATCTGACGAGGCTGAACCGGTGCACCGGTCCCAAGAGCTTCCGCCCGGTTTCCCTCTAGCGGATTGCTGGTTCCTGCTCCTGGAGTGTTGAAAAGGTCTCTGGCCTCGAAAACCGGAGGCAAACAGGATCGGTGCTTCCTCCTCATGACTTCCTGCGATGCGCTCTGGTCCAACATGAGCCTGTAGGCTTGTGCGTCTAAAGCGGCCCGCTCCATGGCCATCCTGGTGTCCTCAGCTGCCAGATCTGCCTTGGCCTGGGTGATCTGGTCCTTTATCTTTGCAATCTCCGCGTTGTGGACGTCCTGATCCGCCGGATTAGCTTCCGCCATAAGCACAACCAATGCATCAAATAGCTCTGATAGAACTTGAGGCGGCGGGAGCCCAGGGCCTCCTGCCCCGGCAGCCGTCGCCGCTGCTGAACCGGAGGTTGTTGCCGCAGCGGTTGAAGAATGAAGCACTGCTTGAGTGCCGGCCATGAATATTCCAACCCGGTTGGGCAGATCAGAGGGGTCCGGAATACTGTCGCCATCAGAACAGCCCCCAATCCGGCCGTCTTGTAGCTGATAAAGAGATTCGGTTTCTCCGGTCGATGACTCGTCATCGTAACAAACGACGGTCTCGCCGCGAGATTCCGATCCATCCTCATAACTTCCTCCATGGATGACTCCCACGAAGGCATGCTTCATGGCCGGTTTAACCCGGGCGGATCGCGCAGGCTGAGCCGTCTCGATGAGGTCGGTGCAGATGTCCGGCTCAGGGCTCGGTTCACCGATCTTGCCAATGAAAACGTGAATGCCACCAAAGGGGACCCGGTACCCATACTCAACTGAGCCGGCCTCGGGGCCCCAGCCTGCGTCGTCGATGTAGAGCTTGCCGCGACGACTCTTAGTCATCAGGCCTACAGCGTAGCCCTCGAGTCCTTCAAAGCGGCCCTCCAAGAACCTGAAACCATCGTGCGATAGCCCCACGGTGGGCGCCAACTATCGTGGTTTTGTCACGGCAGATGTCCTAGAGAAAGGACTTAGTCGTGGAGCCATCGCGATGGGTTAGCTTGAAGGGGTTAAAGCGGACACAGGGACGCAAGAGAGTTTATACTAGTTCGGCCCCTTCGATGAAGGTAAAAGCCTACGTCTAGTTGTGATGGAATTGATGGGGTTTCGATGACTAGGGAGCAAACAAGCTTCGCCTATGTCTCGAGTTGTTGTCTGTTGTCCTTGAACCGCCGCCGGGTCGTCCCCTTATATACACGGGTGACGCCCGTCGGTTCACAAAGTCCCAACACCGGTCGATATTCGTATCCGGGTTGGTCTCTCCTTATTCCTAACTTACAATACAAGTTTATATACAAATACCGGTTTACAGCTACAAGTCTTAAACCGACTACGGGCCTTAGGCCCTCATCTGTCTTCTTGGGCTTTAGCACTCTTGAACTACTGATGAAGTTGACCCGGCCCAGATAGGCCGGTTTATGCCCAGCAGTAATATCCCCAACAGGGACCGAGATCCGAGTTCCCACAATGGCGTCGTCACACCCTCATAACCTAGATGTACAGAGGATTACCGCCCGGATGGATGGGCGGCGACAGGAGGACCGCCCGCGGCAACTGATAACCCAGAAGTATAGGGGATCAATTGTATCTTTTTTGATAAATAAGAGTGTCGAACCCAACGAGGAGCTAAAGGTAGGATTTATATTCCCTTCAAGTTCTATCGACCACCGATATAACTCTACGCACACTTAACATTCGCTTTACCTAGAACAAGAATAAAACTAAAAGTACTCTGTAAGTGTGAAGGGATAGGTTTGCAAGAATAAAACTAGGATTACTTAGAGGAAATATAACTAGGAGTAATTTGCAAGATAGTGAAGTTAGTTGTTTAGTAGAAAGCTTTTTCTAACACAAGAAAGTTATTTGTCCCTAGGCAATCGATAACTAGACCGGTAATCATCATTGCAATTTTATATGAGGGAGAGGCATTAGCTAACATACTTTTCATACTTGGATCATATGCAGTTATGATTGGAACTCTAGCAAGCATCCACAACTACCAAAGATCATTAAGGTAAAACCCAACCATAGCATTAAGTAACAAGTCCTCTTTACTCCCATACGCAACAACCCCCTTACTCGGGTATAAGCTTCTGTCACTCTCCCCATCCACTATAAGAGAATCACAAACGTATTGAAACACCCTACAAAGGGAATCCCACACGCTTTGCGCGACACAGAGGGCACCATAGGACAGCATCAAAATAAAACATACAACTCAAACCAATCACGATCATCAACAAACCCATAGGACAAAACGAATCTACTCAAACATCACAGGATTGCCACATATCATTGGATAATAACATATAGCATTAAGCACCATGTTTAAGTATATATTACAACGGGGAGAAGAGGTATTACAATGCTGCATAGAGGGGGAGAGAGTTGGTGATGATGGCAGCGAAGTTGTTGTTGTAGATCGCCGTCAAGATGATTGCCCCGATGGCGTTTCGGCACCACCGGAGAGAGGAGGAGAGAGCCCCCTCCTCCTTCTTCTACCTTGGCATCCCCCTAGATGGGAGGAGAGTTCCCCCTCTGGTCCATGGTCTCCATCCTCGTGAGGCCGGCTCGCGGGGCCTCCTCATGAGGCCTACCCTGCGAGGGTAGGTCTCGGGGCCCCGGCTGTGAGGCCCGTGCCTGTCACATGGGTGACACCCTGTTGTCAGGATAGGGATGGCAGGGTATGGCAGAGACCGGTTTCCACTTTGGTGCTAAGGGCACAACGGAGCCAGCCTCCCTCCAAAGCAAGTCCCAAAGTTCTAACTTTGGTGAATGAAGACCAAGACAGCTCGGCTCCCAGGACAACCGTCATCGCCGAGCCCACTCTTACATCAGGATAGCGCCTTTAGCAGGCGAAGACCACCTTTGGCCAGGATAATCCTGCGCCCTTGTCCCCCTTCAAACTTGCCGCCCTGTGGACACCTTTCCCGCACATATTTTCAGGGAAGAGGGCCAAGTCATGAGAAGAAGGAAGGACAACCATTGTAGAGGGGGGACCTTTTGACTCCTTCCTCACCTTGCCTTGTAGCTCCAAGCGCGTTGCCCACAAGCAATCCCAATCAAGTAGGAGTAGGGTTTTACACCATGACGGTGGCCTGAACTTGGGTATCTCGCGCGTCCCCTTCGGGTCTAGTGAGCCCGTGGGAGTTCAGCCGCAGTCATCATCGTGTCTTAGGTCGCAAAGCAAAGCCCCCTAGAGTTCAAACCCTAGTTCTTTGAGAAGTTTCTTTTACGTAGATCCTAAACTCCGACAGACTCAATAGAATACCCCATTGTCACCGCGGGTATCAACATGCAAGACATACATCAAGTGATCTCAAATCTAGTATTCAATCCAATGCAACGAAACCTCAAAGAGCAAGACTCAATTCATCACAACAAGGTAGAGAGGGGAAAACACCATATGGTCCGACTATCGTAACAAAGCCCATGGTTACGTCAAGATCATGCCAGATCAAGAACATGTGAGAGAGAGATCAAACACATAGCTACTGGTACATACCCTCAACCCCGAGGGTGAACTACCCCCTCCTCGTCATGGAGACTTCCAGGATGATGAAGATGGCCTCCGTTGATCATCTTCCCCTCTGGCAGGGTGCCAGGAAAGGGCTCCAGATGAGATCGCTTTGAAACAGAGGCTTGCGATGGCATGTAAGTTATAGGTCAATTTTCAGAAGTTTCTCAATACATAAAATTTTTTGGCATCGGTTTCACATCAGGGGGGCCCACGAGGGACCGACGAGCTCAGGGGGTGCTCCCAGGCTTGTGGCTCCCCTGGCCACCCTCTGGTCCACCTCCGACACTTCATGGGTCTCATTTGGTCCATAAAAGTCACTGTAAAGTTTCATGGCATTTGGACTTCATTTGGTATGGATTTTCTGGAAAACCAAAAACACGAGGAGAACAACAACTGACACTGGACACTAGGTTAATAGGTTAGTTCCATAAAAAATCATATAAAAGTACACCAAAACCATATAATATTGTTGTAAACATGGCATGAATACTTCATAAATTATACATACGTTGGACAAGTATCAGGAGGTGACATGGTCGGCGGCGAGGAGTCCTTGGGTTCGACAGCTAGGCTAGCTAGAGCTCGTGTGCGAGTGTTAGAAGAGAGGGGAAGGAGCAGGAGCTCACATCAAACCTGCAAGGGCGGTCAGTGGGCTCGAAGGCCCAATGGAATGGTCGAATCGACGACATATATCTCGGTTTCTCGGGTAGAAGACAATGGCGCTAACGACGATGTGGTTCTTCCTCGCTCGAGTTCTTCGGCTTGGAGATGAGGAAGAGCTTTGGGGAGCATCTAGACACAATGATGCAACGAGAGGTGGGCGATGGTACGAGAACTACGACGACGTGCTCATGGCAGCTTTGGCCATGAGGGAGAGATGAGGAATGAGGGCGAGAGTGAGAGGGTTGGGCTCGGGGACATGCATGTCGTCCTTAGCCAGCTCTAGGCACTCGATGGCAAACAGGAGGTGGCGCTGCGCATGCTCGCGCGTGTCCTCTTGGCGAGAGGTGGACGATGACTGGCCACTGGGCCAGTTGGGCCGGATGGGTTGCACGGCTCTCTCTCTCTATTCTTGTTTTTGTTTTCTACTTTTGTAATTTGTTTTGATTTAGTTACTGGACTAAATTATTTTTTAAAATTCTAAAAATAATTGTGGGCATCAACTGAAATATTCCAGAGGCCCTCAAATAATTCTAGAATATTTGGAGTAACAAAACTATTTATAGAAATTATTTGCTCCAACTCAAAATAATATGGATTAACCCCAAGCCCAAATATGTACTGGAAAGTTCATTGAAAATTATTTTAAGCTAAACCTATTTGAATTAATTTGGTGCTAGGGTTGTGAGCATCCCCATTTCAAGTTTCAATTAAAGTAAACCATGATGCCACAAGCAATACTATCCTAGGTGCATTACCAAACTAGGGATGTGACATACTATTATCCCGCCCTGTTCTCCGCAATAGGGCGATTCCGTTTTGCATCCATTGACCAGGCGTGTGATCGTCCGGTTAGTCATCTGGCGCGCTATCTGACAGCCGGGTTCCTTCTGGTTAACATCCTATCTTAGGAGCTGACCCGCACTAGAGAGGAACTTGTTCCTACAAGAGCGGCATACCCCAACCATTAGCTACCCCAACCATTCCACCCCCATCTATCCTCACTGCTCCTGCTAGCTCACTTGGGTAGCCGAACACTTTGTCTAGTACTCATCGTGAGTCCCGAGCTATGTGGTCATAGAAACCACACCGGCGACAGCGCCAATCCTTGTTAGGAAATGTAGCATGCAATTCAAAAAAAAATTATGCTCACGCAAGATCTATCTAGGAGATGCATAGCAATGAGAGGGGGAGAGTGTGTCTACATGCCCTCGTAGACCAAAAGCGAAAGCATTCGACAACATGGTTGATGTAGTCGAACTTCTTCTCGTTTCGACCGATCAAGCACCGAACGTACGGCACCTCTGAGTTCTACACACGTTCAGCTCGATGACGTCCCTCGAACTCTTGATCCAGCAAAGTGTCGAGGAAGTAGATGAGTTCCGCCAGCACAATGGTGTAGTGACGGTGAGGTGATGTGATCTGCGCAGGGCTTCGCCTAAGCACTACGAGAATATGACCGAGGGTGTAATCTATGGAGGGAGGCGCCGCACACGGCTAACAGAAGTTGATGTGTGTCCTAGGCGCCTCCCTCCCCTCATATATATAGGTGGGAGGGAGAGAGAGCAGCCAAGGGGAGCGCCCCAAGTAGGCCGAATCTTACTTGGAATCCCTCCCCTTCCTTCCCTCTTTCCCCCTTTCCTTTCCCCTCTGGTGCGGCCCATATGGGGCGGGGGGGGGGGGCAGTAGCCCTTGATGGCTGCTATGTTCCCCCTCTTGGCCCATTAAGCCCATATCTTTGTCGGGGTTGCCCGGAACCCCTTTCCGGTGACCTGATATGTACCCGGTACCCCGGAACACTTTCGGTGTCCAAATACTATTGTCCTATATATCAATCTTTATCTCTTGACCATTTAGAGATTCCTCGTCATGTCCTGATCTCATCCGAGACTCCGAACAACATTTGGTCACCAAAACACATAACTCATATAATACAAAATCGTCATCAAACGGTAAGCGTGCGGGCCCTACGGGTTCGAGAACTATGTAGACATGACCGAGACACCTCTCCGGTCAATAACCAATAGCGGAACCTGGATGCTCATATTGCCTCCTACATATTCTACGAAGATCTTTATCGGTCAAACTGTAATGACAACATATGTTATTCCCTTTGTCATCGGTATGTTACTTGCTCGAGATTCGATCGTCGGTATCTTCATACCTAGTTCAATCTCGTTACCGGCAAGTCTCTTTACTCGTTTCATAAATACATCATCCCGCAACTAATTTATTAGTCACATTGCTTGCAAGGCTTCTTATGATGTGTATTACCAAGAGGGTCCAGAGATACCTCTCCGATACTCGAAGTGACAAATCCTAATCTTGACCTATGCCAACCCAACAAACACCTTTGGAGATACCTGTAGAGCATCTTTATAACCACTCAGTTATGTTGTGACGTTTGATAGCACAAGGCATTCCTCCGGTATCCGGGAGTTGCATAATCTCATAGTCAAAGAAATATGTATATGACATGATGAAAGCAATAGCAATAAAATTGAACGATCGATATGCTAAGCTAACGGATGGGTCTTGTCCATCACATCATTCTCCTAATATTGTGATCCCATTCATTAAATGACAACAAATGTCTATGGTTAGGAAACTTAACCATCTTTGATTAATGAGCTAGTCTAGTAGAGGTCTATTAGGGACACAGTGTTTTATCTATGTATCCACACATGTATCAAGTTTTCGGTTAATACAATTCTAGTATGAATAATAAACATTTATCATGATATAAGGAAATATAAAATAACAATTTTATTATTGCCTCTAGGGCATATTTCCTTCAATCCTAGCGGCACTCGGAACGAGGGTGGCCGGTGTAGAGGCACTTGTAGAAGACGCTGGCCTTGCGGGTCTTGCCAGAGGTTGCGTCGAGTGTGGTAGCAATGCGTGGTAGCTAGGGCGATGGCGACGCTGATGAGGGGAGCTCTAGTGTCGGCGAATGCGAACAGTCTCCCATGGGACTCGTCCCATCCTCTGGCTCCTCCACCGGCAACATGTTTTGGATCTCAGAGCGCGAGATTCGCCTAGGGGTGACCTCGATCGCCGGGAGGGTGGTAAGGGCACCGTTGTAGAGCACCACATGATACGAATGATGAGGGCTCACAGAGGAGGATGGGCTCTCCTCCAGCCAGTGTAGCTCGCGGGGGCGCCCCTGACCGAGGAAGTCGAGGAGGCCATGGGGCGGTGGCTCGGGGCTTAAACGGTGGATGCCGGGGCCGGAGTGGCCACCCGTGGTGTCGTGGGGTGGGTTGGTGGCTAGGAGCGGGGGCCACACGTTCGGTTATTTTCTTTAACAAAGTATAGACGCAGGCGCTCATATATACGCGTATACAATCACCTCTGTGAATGCACACACGTATACCCTACCTCTATGAGCACCTCCGAAAAACTGAGCCTGCATATTATCTTGGGATTTTACAAAGTCACCGTAGTCGCCTCATAATTGACGGAAACATCTCCTCCCACTGAACGCGCATCATCACAAGTCCTATGTCAGAATAAATGCGAGCACTAGTAGAATTTAAACTTTGATGGGTTGGAATATCATTGTCCTTCTAATCATCCAACACAGGTTGATTCGCAGAGGCTATCATTGGCAGCACAAGTCAACATGCCAAGATACCTCCAAACGTGTGAACGCAGACAACATCACATACATGGTATGAACGCATGCCTTCCTCTTGACGAAGGTCAAGGTCAAGGTCGTCGCTGAGTGCGAACCTCCGTGAGTTATGACTGATTTGAAAGACTGAAACACACATATATGAACATATAATCCCGGGGCCCAGGAGGCATTCGTCACCAACCAACCTGTCCTCTGCCTAGAGAGGATGGCGCTTGCTGCCCGGTCGTCTGTGCGCTCCCTGGTGCTGCTCGTGTCGCACGGGAGGCCACAGCTGAGCTCATTCTTCTCCTCCTCCGCCGCCGCCAGAAGCGTGCCGCCGCCCATCCCAGGAGCTGATACTCCTCCGGCCGCTGCAGCCGTCCAGACCCCAGGTAGCATGGTAACCAGCACAGATTAATGCTTCCTGCACGCACGCGTCTCCTTCGGTTCCATTGCTAACAGATACTCCATTACGTTTTGCAGCTCCGCCAGATCGTCCACGCACCAAGCAGGAAGAGACTGTTGTTCACCCACTCCCTGGGGTGCCACGCCCACGCCCACGCCCACCCCCACGCCCACCTCAGGCCGTTAAAGATGTAGCCGGCAAGGTTTATCCGAACGCCCCAGAAGATCCTAGTAGTGCACACCCAACTCCTGATCAGGGTTCATCTAGCACACTTGAACCTGTATTTCACATCTTTGAAGATCCTCGACACCGGCTTGTTGATCCACCGGGTCGACCTCCACTTCCAGCCGTTAAAAGTGCAGCCGGCAAGGCTTATCTGGACGCCCCCGAAGATCCCACCACACACCCAGCTCCTAATACTGGTTCATGTAACGCATCTGAACCTGTATCTGCTGGCATCTTCGAAGATCCTCGACACCCAGTTCCTGATCCATCAGCTAGGGGGCGTAGCGCCATGACCGACGGCGACGAGCCTGCGCAGTGCACCAAGGAGCATCCCAAGTACCCAGTTCCCGACAGTTCAACTGACGAGGGCCCTGTTGAGGAACATCCTGCATACGCTACTCCTGGTTACGGTTCATGTAGCACACCTAAGCCTGTGCCTGAGAAACCTCCCTCCGGCACCTACGAAGATGTTAAGCAGCGGGATGTTGATCCACCACGCCCCGCGCGCGAAGGCGTTGGACACCAAGTTCCTGATCCGTCAGGTAGGGGGAGTAGCGCTTTGCCCGAGGCCAGAGCAGTGCACCCAGGGCCCTCCGAAATACCCAGCCCTGGACAGTTCCAAGTGACGACATCCTTCAGACTGAAGTCATAGGTACGAACTAGATCCTAGTATCCTACTGCTATTGTATAGCGTCGAAGAAAAAACTGGGCAGCTTCCCTTTGGCTTCTCCCTGTACTGGGCTGTATATACTGTAGACTCGTAATTTTATTTGGGATGAAGTGATCCAAATTCTATCGTGTTATACTAACATAGTACAAACGGTGTGGACGTTGCGTCGATGTGTACTTGTCCTCCAAAGATTGTTATGTATTGCCTCTCATATATATATATACCTCATGTAGTCTCATCTAAAACCGGCATGTCGTCTCGTGCTTATAATACTCTTTTGTCGTACTGGATTGCGCCTTCGTGGGTTCATAGTTTTTTCTCGCAAAGTTTTCATGTTAAATTCATGTTTTTCATGTCTCGTTTTATCTATTTTTTATGGTTACTGGCTAGTTAGTTAGGCTGTTCGTAATGGGAGTATCATAGGTAGTATTATGCATGCCAACTAAGCAATTTTGATGAAGTGGTATAGAATTAAATGAAGAAAGGGAGGCTTGAGTATCATATCATGATACTGTATCATATTAAATGATGTGCTATTTTTGTGTCATGCATGACAATAAATATAGTCTTCTATGATACCAACATATGATACTATGCATTAGGGATGTAGTATCATAGACTAGTATTTTATGCATGATACTAGTATATGATACTCCCCATTACAACCAGCCTTACTGCTGCGATTTTGTAATCTCGATACATGTTGTCAAGGAAAGGAATCGTGGTTGAAGATCATGAAAAGTGAGTACGGATAAGGCCTAGATGATGTATAAGATTCTAAAAACACGTAGGAGTAGAAAAACCACATATATCCTAATGAATAAGGGTGAATAAAAACTAAACCACACGAAAAAAATTGGCGGTAGAGTATAATTAAAATGTCATTACTCCAGTCAAATCACATGAAAAAGCTCAAAATTACTACACCACAAATGATTTTGTGTTGTTTTTTGTGCATTATAGTAATCTTTTTTCCCTATTTAAAAAAAATTGGAGTTAATGATGAGTTTACAAATGGGTCCAACATTCTTTCTAAATAAACAAACACACATATCTCTACACGTGAAACTAGCAACCTTCAAAGAGACATATATTTTATTGGATGCCCTCAAAGAGACTCTAAAGGACATATAAATAAATGTAATTTACTCACATAAGACATCTATCATGAATAAACAAATACACTACTTTTATATAAGACTAACTTTTTGTGAAAGACATAAATAACAAAGACAAAAAGGTGACTTCGACCCAAAATACATTTTGATTTTAGTTCTCTCCCCAACCTAATATGGTCATTAAATTCTCTGACGACATTGATAAAGGACACCAACATTATTTCACCACCTCTAAGCCAATGGTTCCGTGGCAACACACGGGCATCATGTTAGGTATAAAAGAGGTTAGAGTGGATAGTGAACTCCAAACGTTTCCTTTGAAACCTTAACAAAGTCGACTGAAACCCTACGATTTCTACTAAGCCCTATGCAAACAAAATGTATGAACCCGGTTGAAATGCTCATGATTGAGTACCAAAACAAGTAAATGAACTGATTTTTAGGGGTTCTTACAGTACTACGGGAGGGCCCCGCCCTCCTACCGTCATATGCCCATCGCCCAATCTGAGTGGGGGCGATGACAATGTCGTCATTGACTGCGCTAGATCGATCAGCCACTAGTAGAAAAAGGGGCTTTCGTTCGGGCCTGGCCAGCCCATTAGTCTCGGTTCTGTCACGAACTGGGACCAATGGAGGCATTTTGTCCCGGTTCGTGAGCCCAGGGGGCCGGCCGGGGCCTCGTGGGCATTGGTCCTGGTTCGTCTGGGCCCATTTGTTCTGGTTCTTGGCACGAACCATGACCAATGGGCCTCGCTTCTGGCCCACAACCATTGGTCTCGGTTCATGGCAGGAACCGGGACAGAAGGATGGCCTTTAGTCCCGGTTCCAGCCACGAATCGGGACCAATGAGTTGCCTATATATACCCCATCGCTGGCGAGCAGAGCACTCCACAGTGCTCTGTTTTTTGCTAGCCGGCGAGGGGGGTGGCATTGGGTGCTCTAGCTCACCTCCTATGCACATGAGGTGTTCGATGAAATGACCGAGCCACATTAGTTAAGCTTTCTCCTCTCGAAGCTCGACCTCCGAGCTCCATTTTTTTCCGAGATTTGTCTAGGTTTAGCGGTCCGTCATACCCCGTCCTCGTCTTCACCGCCGTCGATCGCCCGCGCCGATCTCGTCGCCGGCACCACCGTGGTGAGCCTCTTGTTCTTATCTTCTTTCTGAAAGAAAAAAATCTTACTTTAGATACATACTTGTCTAATTTTCTTACTTTTGACACACATAATTATATATAATACACGCAGATGAACCGGCAATGGATGTACGGTGACAGACACACCTCTGAGTACATTAAGGGCCTGCATAATTTTCTCGAAGTGGCTGAGGCAAACAAGCAGATCACCGGAAGAAGCCCGCCATGTGTACCGGTGATCACGTACTTGCTATGGTCTCTCATTTACACATAATATTTGGAACGGGTCCCGACGGACTAGCTGTTCTGAATGACGCTGAGGGACGCGCACCCATGTGGAAGAAGAAATCTATATTTTGGGACCTACCCTACTGGAAAGAGCTAGAGGTACGCTCTTCAATCGACGTGATGCACGTGACGAAGAATCTTTGCGTGAACCTGTTAGGCTTCTTAGGCGTGTATGGGAAGACAAAAGATACACCTGAGGCACGGGAGGACCTGCAACATTTGCACGAAAAAGACGGCATGCCTCCAAAGCAGTATGAAGGTCCTGCCAGCTACGCTCATACCAAAGAAGAGAAGGAAATCTTTTTTGAATGCCTGCTCAGTATGAAGGTCCCGACTGGCTTCTCGTCGAATATAAAGGGAATAATAAATATTCCAGAGAAAAAGTTCCAGAATCTAAAGTCTCATGACTGCCACATGATTATGACGCAACTGCTTCCGGTTGCATTGAGGGGGCTTCTACCGGAAAACGTCTGATTAGTCATTGTGAAGCTATGTACATTCCTCAATGCAATCTCTCAGAAGGTGATCGATCCAGAAATCATACCAAGGCTAAGGAGTGATGTGGCGCAATCTCTTGTCAGTTCCGAGCTGGTGTTCCCACCATCCTTCTTAAATATCATGACACACGTCCTAGTTCATCTAGTCGACGAGATTGTCATTCTGGGCCCCGTATTTCTACACAATATGTTCCCCTTTGAGAGGTTCATGGGAGTCCTAAAGAAATATGTCCGTAACCGTGCTAGGCCAGAAGGAAGCATCTCCATGGGCCATCAAACAGAGGATGTCATTGGGTTTTTTGTTGACTTCATTCCTGGCCTTAAGAAGATAAGTCTCCCTAAATAGCGGTATGATGGGAGACTGACTGGAAAAGGCACGCTAGGAGCGGACTAAATAATATGCAGGGACGGGCATTCTTGGTCTCAAGCACACTACACAGTTCTACAGAACTCTACCTTGGTGAACCCGTATGTCGATGAATATAAGAACAGTCTGCGCTCCAAACACCCGAAGTAGTGTGACAACTGGATTACATATGAACACATCAGGACTTTCAGCAGTTGGTTGGAAACACGTCTCAGAGGTGACACCACTGTTCGTGATGAGTTGTACTCATTATCCAGGGGACCATCTTCGACTGTATTGACTTACAAAGGATACGAGATAAATGAGAATACATTTTACACGATCGTCCAAGATCAAAAGAGCACCAACCAAAACAACGGTGTCCGCTTTGATGTAACAACCGAGAGGGGAAAGGACACATATTATGGTTACATAATGGACATATGGGAACCTGACTATGGACATGATTTAAAGGTCCCTTTGTTTAAGTGCAAATGGGTCAATCTATCAGGAGGCGGGATACAGGTAGACCCATAGTACGGAATGACAACAGCGGATCTGAACAATCTTGGGTACACTGATGAACCGTTCATCCTAGCCAATGATGTGACACATGTTATTTATGTGAAAGACATGTCTACCAGACCGAGAAAAAGAAAAGATAAGGAAGAGAATACATCATACGATGAGCCAAAGCGCCATATAGTTCTTTCAGGAAAAAGGGACATTGTGAGTGGAGGGCAAGACAGACATGTCTGAAGATTATGAAAAGTTTCATGAAATTCCTCCCTTCAGGCTAGGCTACCCCGCCGCCGTCGCCGTCGCCTTTGCCCCCGAGCCCACGCCGACGTCGTCCGCCGCCCTCGAGCCCACGCTGTCGCTGGCCGCGCCCCTGCGCCACGCGCCGTCGCCGTCCTGCCCCGCCCCGACGCCGTTGCCGCCCCGCGCTGCCCTGCCCTGACGCTGCCTCCTCATCGCCGTCGTCGCGCACCCTGTGAGCGTCGCCCCGACCCCCTCCTCCTCCTCCCTGTAATGACCGCCACCGCTGCCGCCGCGCCCCCTAGCTATTATATATATATATATATATATATATATATATATATATTTTGTGTGTGTGTGTGTAGTTTAGATTTGCAATTAAGTTGTATTAATTTGGATATGTAGTTAGATGTGTAGTTAATTTAGTTGTTGTAATTTAGATGTGTAGTTTAGATTTTTTTGGGTGATATTATTATTGAATATGCAAATGTTTGTATGTTCATATGCAAAGAATATGTCAATTTTTTCATAGAATTTTCATGATTTTTTTCTGTTGTAATTTTGTTCATAGAGTTTTTATGATTTTTTTTCATAAATTTTTTATGTATATGTTCATATTGTGTAGGAATCTGAAAATTGTGTATGATCAAAGTCATTTATGAATGTTCATATTTAGAAGAAAAAGAATGAGAGAAAAAAGGAAAATAAGAAGAGGAAGAATAAGAAGAAGAGGAGGAGAGGAAGAAGAGGAGAAATAAATAAGAAAATGAAAAATAATAAAAAAAGAGTAGAAGAAGAAGAAATAGAGGAGGAGGAGAAGAAGAAATAGAATATCTATTCC